AAAAAGAGGCAGATGGAAAATCCTATAGTAAATGAAGCTATGGAGGTATTCGTATTGGGCCAAGTTGCCATGGATAGTACGCTGAGTACAAGAAAATTAGCCAATAAGACCGGCGTGAATCGTACAAGTGTCCAAAGGCGTACAAGTGTCGAAGACGATTTTGATCGTCGCTTGCAATTTTGTGAAACTATGACTAAACGAGTGGCGAATGATACTAATTTCCTATTTAATGTGTGTTTTTCGGATGAGTGTACTTTCTTTTTGAACGGTGTAGTTAATAGGCACAACTGTCGGTATTGGGCTGAGGACAACCCCAGGTTATTTCACGAGGTGCACACACAAAACCTTCAGAAATTGAACGTGTGGGTTGGTATTTTTGGACATTCTATTGTCGGTCTTTTGAGTTTAACGATATTGAGAAGAACTTCAACGCACAAGTCACAGAACAGCTATCTAGCAATTACCGCACCTGATCGTTCAACCTTGTGGCAAGTGAAAAAATGCGTAAACATCTAGAAATAATAAGAAAAAACCTCAAATTGGTCGAAGGAATTTATCCTTATCATTTATTCTGATAAATGTTTAAATAAACTTTTCAAATTTTAATCCTTCATATTTTCTGAATGACTCGACCGGTTTTCAAAAGCGAAGCGGGAAAGTATAGAGAATAGAAAGCCCTTTTCAGTGCGGTACCACTTGACCCCCCCCCTTCCCATTTGAAAAAAATTGGGGGATGACACCCCCGCTTAGAGGGTTGAAGATTTTGCAATCATTTTTGGGGCAAAATTTGTCCCCCTCACAAACAAAATTGACGTGTTTTTGAATTTTCTGAAAAAAAATTACCCTGGCCGTTATGCCTTGCGGAACGTTTTCGATGAGCCACCCTGTATTTTGTTCTAAATACAGAGACGTTCGAGAATGTCGTTATTAAAGCAAGATACTTAAAAACTAATATATTTGTTTTAGGTGAAAAGCTAGTTAAGTGATATTGTTGGTTATGCTAAATTGTGTACTGAGAAATTTGTGTCCAGTGATTCTAATCCCGGTGGCTTTTTAAATAAATCAATTTTTGTTTTAATTAGTCATGTTCCCAGGAATTTATCATTATTTTACATCTATTAAATAATGCTTATGTAATTATTTTAAGTATAGTATTTTACATAAAGAGATAATAGAAAAAAGTTAATAAGTTAAAATATCATTAATTTCTCTTTAGAATTTGTATAATTCATATTTTTGGAAAAAAATAATAGCAATCTTAAATATTGCAATATTTAAAAAAATAAGAAGAAAATAATTATTGCTGTTTTAAAAGAATTTATTATTGTTATTGATTTCTTTATTGTTTAATAAAGTGTCTAAGTATTTATTTATAAATGAAGATTTAGAAAATCTAATTCTATTTGTATTTAATTATACAGGGTGTAAATAAATAGTAATTGCATTTAAAAAAAAATACGAATTTTCGAATAAATTTTTTACATTTAATTTGTAGTAACATTTAAATAGTGATATGTTAACTTATGTTAATAATAAAAGAATACGAATTATTGAATAATTCGTATTTTCGTACAAGAAAATAATATTATATTATACAGGGTGCTACAAATTCGAGGTACGAGCATTGGTATCTCGGTAACCGTAATAGATACGAACGTGGTTAAATTGGGACAAAAATTTCAAGGATTGCTGAGTTTCTTGGAAAAAACGGATTTTTTTGAAAATTAATTTTATTTTTTCCTGTCGCTACTTTTAAGAAAATCAAAAAACGAATTGCACATTAGCAACTTTATGAAGGCTATCTGATAGTATTTTTAGATTTTCAAATTAGCTGATAATTTGTGAGATACAGAGGCCAACTTAATTTTTTTAAATACGAACCTGCATTTTTTTTCAGATTTTGAAAGAACTCGGTCTCCTGAGTACAATGATATGACACATTTAATATTTTTTTTTTTGTTTCAGACATTTGAACACAATTTATTTAAATTAATTTCAAGTACGGCTCTGTTTTTTTTAAATATTTAATCCATTCATCGTTACAATATCGATAAGCTTTCAAACTTAAAAATGACGTGGGGTAAAACATTGAATATTGAAAATCAAATGCAATAAAATAATAAAAAATAATATACAAATGAATACATTACTTCACGGCATTTGTAAAAGTAAAATCAATACATCTCAACATTAAGAATAAAGATTATAAAATGCTTTCGGAAGTATAAGAAGAAAGTTCAAAAAGCTATAAATAAAATTGAACGAAAAATAAATTTGTGCAATAGAGAGGGTTGTAACCCTTTCGTAGAACATTAGAAACTATTTTGTAGAAGTTTATTTATTTATAATAACTACGATGAATATTACGCATATTAGATCGCACACTGAGATTTCAAATTCACAATAAAACAAATAAAAATAATATCTTTAAATTGCTGACCTGGATATAATTTATTTGAATCTTCCAATTGGCTCGATTTTCCTTATTCAATGTTAATTAGCGCTGTTCAATATGTATATTACGATGAATATAATCAGATTAAATAATTAAAAAAAAACAGAGTCGGACTTAAAATTATTTTAAATAATAATTATATAGTTTTTTGTTGTTAAGGTACCTGGTACCTGGTATAAGGTAAGTGTGGCAAACCATTGTACTCAGGAGACCGAGTTCTTTCAAAGCCGAAAATAAAAAATGGAGGTCCATATTTAAAAAAATTAAGTTGACCTCTGTATCTCACAAATTATCAGCTAATTTGAAAATCTAAAAATACTATCAGATAGCCCTAATAAAGTGGCTATGAGAATACGCAATTAGTTTTTTGATTTTCTTTAAAGTAATGACAGGAAAAAATAAAATTGATTTTCAAAAAAATCCGTTTTTTCCAAAAAACTCAGCAATCCTTGAAATTTTTAAAACTTTTTTGATGGCATCTTGGTGAGCATCACAAAGCGCAACTTTGCCGCAATTTAACCATGTTCGTATCTATTACGGTTACCGTGATACCAATGCTCGTACCTCGAATTTGTAGCACCCTGTATATTATGTTTATAGGGTGAACCCTAAATCACAATATCATATTTCTTTTTGAATAATTTACTATAGGTATATGTATGTCATCCTTCATCTAGTTTCGAAGTCACTTTAAAAACTTTTTGTCTCTATACATATTTTTCCATATACAGGGTGAGTCTTAAATAAGTGCAAATATTTTCAGCGCTGGTATATCTCGATAAAAGATTTATCTTTATCGTTTTTCAAATAAGTCCAAAATAACTTTATTTTACGTTGAAAATTTCCGAAAAAAATGATTTTTTGCTTAAATCTTGAGAACCACTGGATTTTTTTCTGAGTTTCATTTTTTGTAAATTTAATCTATTACCTATGTTGCCATATTATAAAGAAATTATAATTTTTAATCAAAACTAAAATAAATTCCAAATTTTCCAATTTTTTTTGCAAATAAAACCTTATACCACCTATTCGGGTTTCTGGGATCGAAATATAGAAGGTACCCCTAAAAATATTTGCACCTATTCAAGACTCACCCTGTATATACTATTTTATTAATCAATTAAAAAAAAGAAATCATTATTAGTAATCCATTACATCATTATTAGCACATGAAAACATTTTTTTTAGTTTTTGATTAAAAATTACAATTTCTCTATAATATGGCAACATAGGTAGTAGATTAAATTTAAAAAATAGGAAACTCGGAAAAGATCGAGTGGTTCTCAAAATGAAAGCAATAAATCATTTTTTTCGAAAATTTTCAAAGTAAAATAATAAGGTTATTTTGGACTTTTTGAAAAACGGTAAAGAGAAAATATGTTTTTGTCTTTTATCGAGATCTACTACCCCTAAAATATTTGCACTTATTTAAGACTCACCCTGTACATGTTATTTTATTAATCAGTTAAAAAGAAAGAAATCATTATTAGTAATCCATTATATCATAGCACATGAAAACATTTTTTTTAGTTTTTGATTAAAAATTATAATTTCTCTATAATATGGCAACATAGGTGGTTGATTAAATTTACATGATAGGAAACTTGGAAAAGACCGGGTGGTTCTCAAAATTTAAGTGAAAAAAACTGAAGTGACAATATATACGTATATGAAAAATCCCTAATATTTTATAAAGACCATCGCCCTCTTAATTTTATTCGAACACCTTGTATATTTCTGATTTAGAGAAATTTAGATAAAAAATTGTCCTGAAATTATTACAAGCGAAGGAGATAATAAAACAAAAAGAAAATACTGCAGGTACAAAGTTTTTTTGGAAATCCTAGCTAATAAAAAGAATGCAAGGAAATTCATCTTTCGATAAAATTATTTTGGATTCACTAGTAATTTAAAAATCTCCTGATAGATATTATTTATAGTTATTTTTTATACAAGACGATAAAATGGTATTTTATAAGAAATCGCCAGTGAATTAATTTCGGGAGACGATAATTCAATTTTATCGTCGTATATAAAACAAAATATTGTTTTCCATAGCGAGTTACGTTTTAAAAAATATTCAGAAATTATTATTTCAAGGAATTTATTACGAGTAGAAAAAATATTGTGCTGGGTTGGCGTTGGTTTCTATGTAATTTACAAATAAATAAAGCTATCTCTTTAGTTGTCAGTTTTGAGTCAATATTTTTTAATTCCCTTTCATGTCGATTGCTGATTGGAATTGGAGCCAGAAATGACTCAAAACGAAATAAGTAAATTACTAACAGATATTCAGGCTGAGGCGACAAACGCCATATCCAAAGTACTTCCATTTAAATCCCGAATAACTTATGAAAAAAAATACAAAAATTTTCAAAAATGGAATCAATTAAAAAACGTGCGAGAAGAAATTAAGTTTTTAACCTATCCTCGCTGTTAAAGTATCATTTAATCTACACTTGTGGTTAAAGTACTATTTTTGATAGATATAAGGCAATTTTAACAGTTGCTATAGAAAAAAGTCTATTAATCCCCTACAGCTTACCTTGTTCAGCAAACGAAATAATTTCGCTTGTTCTCCCATAAAAATCGTCCACATCAACTGTATCCATATTCCTGTTTTTCTCACTTGTAGTAGGAAAGTCCTCTTCCTGAAATCCTCTCAAAAAATCACCCTCCTCTGCCCTGTACAACGTTTCCAATACTACTTCCCTAGGTAGACTATGAGTGATATTTGGTTTCCTAGTCAGTCCTAACTTTTGCAGAATTTGTTTCTTGATAGCTTCTAATCTTAACTTATCCGACTCTATGCGCTCTTTATCTCTGTTATGTTTAAAAACACAGTTGGGACAGCTCAGTATTGGATTTTTCGAACTGATTTCGATCGAGCTTTTTTCAACTTGGTTCTTGTCGTGGTGATGTCTGACCCTATCTCCGTTTGTCATGCTACACGATACTGTACTGATTGCGATGCTACACAACAAATACAAACAGGAAACCATTATTGTCGAACTGAGAGCTCTTCTGTTATAGTAGTTTTTATAGACAGCCATGAGGGGAGGAGGTTTTGGAGTGGACGGTCGAAATAATTGCTTGAAATTGATAAGATTCCTAAATTATTACCTATTGAATTGCCTATCTACTGGTATTTGAGGCATGTTTTCGGGGGTTTGGGTAACTTTTTACCGCATGCGACCGGTAAAAAACGGGCGTCCGCTTGATCGGGACAGGGTCGAAACTACAGTCCTCTGCGAAACTGGGCAAAACATGTCGTTGGCGTTCGGTGACATCGAGTTTAATAGTCGACACTGAAACTAGCCGAATCTTGTGCACTCTCCGCCAATTTTTCGGGGTTCGTTCGTGTTGGGAAAAGTGAGTTCGCGATGTCGGTCGTCGCAATGCGAGAGCGCGTCGCTATCCAACGGCGATTCGGTATCAACTGACAACCGTTTCGAGCATGCCGCTCGCGTTTTTCAAAGATTTTTATTGAAGGCGCACAGTCCGTCACTTTTAGGGGTAGTTTTCACATTACTTTTTTTCAAAAAACACTTGCATTTATACACTCAGATGCAAAAAAATCGCAACGGAGAAATTTTTGGTCAAATTTAAAGTGTTATATTTTTGTGATTCTTAGCCCTATTTTCATGAATTTTTTAGCAAACTGTATATAATTATATCAACTTTAATTCGTAAATTAAGTTTTTTATAAACTTTAGTATTTGGCATATTATACAGGGTTAATCGAGAGGTTGTATATTATAATTTTACGGCCAGAACCATGTCTTCTGAGCATTTTGTTTTTTAGATCATGGCAATACATGCCTTGGTTAATTTTTAAGAGCGAAATGAACTTGCCACCAACAATTTGCAATTTTTTCAATGATCAATTATTTTTGAAGCAATTTTTCAATATGACAAGGCTGCTTTGGTGATTATTGTGAACTAGGTATATGCTACTATGAACTGACCATCATGTTCGACGTTTGGGAAATGCTTGGCAGCTTGGCAGAAGGATTAGAGGTCGCGAAGCGGTACCAGCTTCATTAGAGGAACTTCGTTAGGTTCTTAAAGAAGAATAAGAAAGCATAACGCAATCTATACTAATATATAAAATCCTTAAGTGACTGACATACTGATTAAGCACGATCCTGCTCAAACCACTCAACGTAAGAAGCTCAATTTTGGCATACAGGTTGGCTCTGGGGTGTAGAGGTTCGATAAGAAGGGATTTTTTGAAATTCCACTTCCAAGGGGTGAAACCATCCCTCAAATATTACAATATTTGTTATTTAAAAAAAGCTCAAGTTTCCGAAAAAAACGCTTAAACACGTATATTTTATTTTGTTTTTTACATATTTTAAGATTTTTTAAAAATGTATACAGGGTGTTTCGAAAAATCTGGTCATTGATTAATCACGATCCTGCTTAAAGCGCTTGAAGTAAAAAGCTGATTTTTGGAAAGCAGATTGACTTTAGGGTGTAGAGGTTCGATAAGAAGGGATTTTTCGAAAATCGAATTCTAAGGAGGTGAAACTATCCCTCAAATATTAATTTTTATTTAAAAACCGGTGAGTTTTTCGGAAAAACTCTTAAACACGTATATTTTATTTTGTTGTTTTACATATTTTAAGATTTTTTTTAAACTTATACAGGGTGTTTCATAAAATATGACCATTGAGTAATCACGATTCTGCTTAAATTGCTTGACGTTTAAAGCTGATTTTTGGCAAACGGATTGACTATGGGGTGTAGAGGTTCGATAAGGAGGGGTTTCTCGAATCTCAAATTCCAAGAGGGCGAAAACGCCCCTCAAATATTACAATATTTGTTATTTAAAAACGGTTAGTCTTTTGGGAAAACGCTTAGACAAGCATAATTTATTTGTTTTTTTTACATATTTTGATTTTTTTTAAAAAATCATACAGGGTGTTCCAAAAAGTTGGGTAATTTCTTAACCACGATTCTGCTTAAACTGCTTGACGTAAAAAGCTTATTTTTGGCAAACGGATTTTTCGAAAGTCAAATTCCAACGAGATGAAACTACCCCTCAAATATTGCCAAGTTATATAATATGATCGCCATATTGTTATTTCTCATGCTGACATAAATGTGAGAAAATTTTATCCAGTTTGTATGTTAATGGAAATTCTTGCTTTGCTTTATCATCCACATTACAAATGAAAACACTAAATCACCACAATACACAAAAACGCTTTTACTTCTACACTGGACGCGCGTTTCGCTAACCATGTTAGCATCATCAGCAGATGATTATAAACTGACAGTCAGTATTGTGGTGATTTAGTGTTTTTATTTTGCTGTGTAACTCCAAAGGTTCCAACCCTCAACTGTAATCATTACAAATGATTAATTCGACGCGAACGAAGTCGCTGGTACACGCTAGTATAGTATAGGCAGCCTAAATGACAATATGATCGGACATATACAGGTAATTATATCAGCCAAGGGAGGCAATACAAAGTATTGGAGTATTTTTTACAATTATTTTTTCTGTTTGTATACTTCAGTATTACAGATGTTTTCTTTAATATCGGTAGTTCTGTTATCGTTATTAATGTTTATTAAAGCCAGGACAACAGTATCGTTAGTCTTTAATGTGTTTTTTTTTAATTTAGTATAGAATATCCAATGTAGCGCAAAACAACATTACGACAATAGTCACCAAAATCATGTCGTCATATTAAAAAGCTACATCATCAAAAAGTAATGATAATCGAAAAAAAAAGGATATTGATGGTGCTCAGTTCATTTCGCTCTTAAAAATAAAGCATGTATTGACATGAATCAAAAAACCAAATGCTCAGGAGTCATGGCTCTGGCCGTAAAATTATATTTTAGGAAAATTTACACACGAGATTATTGCACAGGGTGTTTTAAATTTTGAATGCGCGTATAAGTAATAATAATAAGTAATTTAAAAAAAAAAGAAATACATTACTAAAAATTGTATTAATCAATAATATATATGTAAAAAGTAAAAATAAATATGTAAAAATATGTAAAAATTAAAAAAAAACGATTAAAAAAACTCGCCTTGGCTAGGATTCGAACCTGCCTTACTACTGCTAACGTCATAGCAGCTTAAAGTCCTAGTTTCTATTAAAAAACTTTCAAAAGTGAGTTTTGAATTTTTAGGTTTTTGGTATACATTTTTTTTAAATAATTGAAATCAAATTAGAAATCACTGAATATTCCAACTAATGTGATTAATATGAGTTGTGATTTTAGTAACTTATTAAACTCTTTTCGCAAAAAATCTAGTTCAATAACTTTAACGAGAAAATCCCAATTCTTAAGTATATTAACTAACATTAAAAAACCTCTCCGCTTTTATTATAAATTGTATTTTTGTTAATTATAGTATAATACACCAGGTATTTTCCCAGTTCCAGGTAATGGTAAATATAAAATATTCTGAATTTTCTTTAACATTATTCAGGTATTAATAAATTTCTGCGAAATAACGAATACTAATATTTCGGTTAATATTGCGTATGTTATAGGAATTAAGTATAAAAAATCGTTTTTCGGATATTTGTAGCTTTTGTATACTATTTTCTTAATATAATAATTAATTCTTATAACATATCATACTAGTATACAGAGGATTCTTACAATAAATTACATATTTTCAACAATTATAAACTTTTAGTACCTAAAAAGTTTATAATAGACGTAGGTATACCGGGTGCGTTTCAAAAGTGGCTCACCCGTTTAACTTTTTTTATTTTTTCAGATAAAATAACGAGATTTGGTATGATAGTTTGGTTTGGTAGGATAGTGTATGACATAAATTAGGATTGATTGACGGCATTCAATTGTTTTCGGTAACTTCCTGTTTCACCGAAAATGACTACAACTTTTGATTTTTATATGGCATCCGATAGAAAATGACACTCTGAATCGAATGACATATCATATGTTAACTTCTGAGGTTTTCGTTTAAAACAAAATTGTATTGTTACGTTTTTCATCGGTTCCATGTGAATAGAAAGTCTAATTTATTTTAGGCTGTACTTAAACTGCCGTTAAACGGTAGCTTACTAAAATGCCGGTAATAGGTATGACGTCGTTCATGTGACGCACTTGACGGCTTTATGAAATATAGGAATTTTATAAGGACTAACCAACGCTATCCACCCACCAAATAACCAACGCAACTAACCTCGACACTGATAAAAAAAAATTAAAAAACAAATATAAATTAGTAAAAACCAACCAACCCTACCAAATAATCAAATAACCAAAGAATTAACACCCACCAAATAATCACGCTAACCAACCCGCCAAATAACTAAACCAATCCAACCAAAAAGAGTGAAACCAATGCAATAAGATCACGCTATAAACAAAAAAAAATATAAAAAAGTCTTGCGTGACATTTGAACCCCGGACCATTCGCTCACGAAGCGATAGCCTCAGCCACGGAGCCACAGGTGCTCTTGTAAAATGCTTATGGCTAGGCATTACTTTCCGCCGACATGAACGATGTCACAATATCTATTAACGGCATTTTAGTAGGCTACCATTTAACGGCTGTTTAAGTACATTATTTATTTTACACTCAGTAAAAACACAATAACGATAAAACTACTTAAAGAACTATTTACAGACTATTTACTATTTATCTAACTATTTATCTAAAAGGAATTTATTTTGAATTTAGCGCGTCCTCCTTAGGCCCCAGGCGTCGGTTTATGTATGAGAGAAACAGACAGTCGAGATCTTACTCGAATTTTCTGTTTACGTCTGGTCGTCGTTCTCCGTTTCTCCCGACTATTCCACTGGCTCCCGAATAGGAGCGGGGCATATTACTGAGGTTAGACCGAGTCCACACGGGTCCGCAACACTGCCCCCTTCAATACATGCTCGTCCCTAGATGTACACGGTGAATGAAGGTATTTGCAAAGCTGGCCCCTGGTACATTGAGAAGTCTGGTAGAAATAGCCGTCTACAGTTTTCTCTCCCGATCTCAGCTTTAGGTTGTAGCAGCAAACGAGGATCTCGATTCCCGTAAATCTAATCAAGACTTCAATCGTGTTCCGGATTGTACGCCAACTCAAACCATCGAGTCCACACGCCAGCTTCGGAATGGCTAATCGTGTAATATTGTTGTTTCAGTTCAATCAGGGTCTTCCATAGATTGAGATAAGTCGGCTTACTCGGCGACCAGATAGAAGATGTGTCTTGCTTGACCATGCGCATTGTCGGTTAGCCTCAAGACGGTTCCAACCTCTGGATCCTGTCGACGGGACGTACAAACTTTTCATTGAACGTCGCAGCTATTCCCCTGGATATTCGTAAATCTCGGGCCACACAGTTAGCGAGCGAATTATCAGGAGGCACGGAAAAGAGGTTCCGTTGTTCTTCTTTGGTCACACCACAGCGAGCCTTCTCACTGATGTTGTAACGGGCCATGAAGTCGTCAAAGGACATCTCCGAATCAGGGGGATCAAAGCTGCAAGTTCTCACGGTCCCAGCACGATCTTCTATTTCGCCTTGGTAGGGGCTCAAACGATTGAAATGGACGATCATCGGTTTTCCTTTTGACAAGAATCTGTCCTGAAAAAATCAAAACTATATTAGCTATGTAATTTAGATGGTCTTACTTTGTTATATATGTGGTAAAGTCATACAGGATGTTCAAAATTCTACGCCAAACTTTCTGAAACATAAAATAATTTTTCTTCGTTTTTTTTTAAATGGTAAACCCTGTATATTATTTTTTCAATAGGGAGTATAGTATTAAAGATATTCCCGGTTTTATATTTCATATGACATTTTCCACAATAAATTTTTATCAAAGCCACTCAATCATTTTTCTCTCATATTTTACCATATTGAAGGAGCCATATGAAATAATACAGCCTGTATCTGCGAAACCATTAAAAATTTTGAAATACTTTACAAAAAATGTTAATTTTTTAGCTGTCCATCTTATAAAAAATAATATAGTGTGGTACATTTAAAAAAACAAAAAAAAATTATATTTAAAAAAGTTTGGCGTAGAACTTTGAACATTCTGTATGAATTTACGACCAACATATTTATAGCAAAGTAAGTACAGCCCATCTAAAGTAAATACCTAATATAGTTTTGATTTCAGAGCAGTCCTTGTATTTTAATAACTTTTTCTAATAAAGACTGAAAAAAATATATTTTTGATTTATTTATTAATATCTCTGAAACTATCGAAATATATTTACTCATATGGATTATGTAAAGTGAAAGGAAAGGAAGTGAAGGATTAGGTATGTAAAGTGAAAGAAAGCCAAAAATGCAATAATATACAGGGTGTTCTATTTAAAAAAAAATCCCAATCCACTCACACTTTCTTGAGCCATCCTATAGAAGTTAAAATATTTTTCGGAAATACATCCTGGTACATACTTTAGGTTTGCACTTAAACAAAATTCTCAATTTTTTTTATTCTAAGAGCTACAGATGCCCGACGAATTATTGCCGGACCCTGTATATTATGTATCATAAATACGTTAAAAATTTGAAATACTTTTATTACCCAAAATTTGCATAAAATATCAGTGTTCATGATGTATATTTTTTTTGTAAAATTCAAGTTCATGATTATTTGATACTAAATAAATGTTAGTATACTTATATTACTACAAAACTGTTAATAAAATTCAATAATGTTATTTTTAAATATGAGAAAAACACATATTAGATATATTAAAAAATCAAAGTGTCAGTGTAAATACCTTTAGCTATTGTGTTTAATAAAGGTGTGTTTGAATATCTCGATATATCACACCATCTAATCTTATTATGTATAAGATGAATACAGTAGATATGTTTTGCATTTAAAATACCCTAGTCAAGTCAATATATAACACCACAAGAAATAAAAGTCTAAATCAAAGTAAAACCTCTGAAGGCGGGTAAGGGGACAAATAACTCACCATCTTTAAGATGTTTATTTAAATTTAAATGCTTCAAAAAAAGCAGGGGGGCGACATGTTTCGGGACTTAAACAATTCCCATCATCAGGCCCAGAAAGACAAACGTCAACCTAGGAAGTACCACCACTCGGAAGAAATAAAATTAGTTAGAGTTGTTAACATTCACACATCTCTCTCATTGTAATTACAAATTGTATAACATTTCAAGAGGGAAGCCTTTCGTTGTAATACCAAATAAATGTCTATATCATAATTTTCAGACAATCTTATTTCAATTTTATATTTTCATTTTTGACGAGAATAATGACGTTTCTGTGATAAAAGTCTAAATAATAATGTGGGTGTTTTTATGATAAAAAAATCAGAATAATAGTTATTAATGATGCAAGTTCGATACGAACATCATAATGAAACGCGTGTAACGCCACGAGGCATTAGCCGAGTGGCTGAGTTACACAAGTTTCATTAAAAAGTTCGTATCGAACGTGTATCATTCAAAATTTAATCTACGACACGACACGAGGGACGATCCAAAGAGATTTGATTCAATTTAAAATATCAGAGATATCCTCATAAAAATTAAAATTCAAAATTATCAGGTGCCCATATTAGTCGACGCCGTGGTAACCGTGCTTGTTGATTGTTTCCATTTTGACTTTGACAACTAAATTATTGATGTTCAATTTTGTGTTAAACGTTCAGTTTTAGCAGAAAGCAAAAAATAATATTAATATGGGTGATTCTGATTCTGAAAGTGTCCCTTCAGATATTGAAGCCATTGCGCAAAACGTTGTCGATTCCCTACTTCCCAAAATATCAAGACAAACGTACGAGCAAGCCTATGTAAAACTTATTCTTTGTTTCTTATTTTAAAATTTGCGTGTTATTATGAATTCATAATAGCAGTAGTGTGTAAAACAAACTTTTTGAAAACCACCCCAAAGGGCTCATGAAACGGACGCTAAGTCCGGAAATAATAAACTTATAAAAATAATTAATTAAGCGAACTTATAGAGAATGTTCTTATGAACAATTCGCGTCTAATTATTTTGTTGTAGTACAGTTTTAAAAAAACCACCCCCATTGCTCAAAAACCGCAAGGGGAAAATTTCCGATTTTCTTTATTTTACACTCAGAAGACAGTCGCTGACAAACTCTGAAAAAATCAGCTTGCCCGTAATTTTTTTTTTCAAATGACAATTTTATTGGATTAATAATAGCCTAGTCAGTAATTCATTTATGCATTTTTTTCATAAAATGCCTTTTAAACAAATAATGGCCTATATCGCATTGTATTTTTAATTACTGGGGCTGGTTATAAAATCTACATCCACTTAACCGAAATTAGCGAACACATTAGGGAAAACTACAAGAATCTAGATCGAAGCGGTAACAATAAAATTGGCGAAGAAATATAATGATGAATAAAACTAATCATAAGAGATTATATATATTATTATTATACAGGGTGAGTTTTCTACCATGTTCTCTATGCGTATCTCGGAAACTACTGGAGATAGAGAGTCGGTTAAATGGGGAAAGAATTGCAGTTTTGCAGGGTCATAAACATGCGCTTTTCAGATTTTTGAAAAAGTTCATGGCTTACTAGATATTTCGAACAAAAACAAATTACAGCTATTTTAAAAATTGTCCCTTATTGCATTATAATGTATTTCAGACAAAAAAAAATTCAGATAAAAGTTGTAGATAATCACATCCTTGAGAGACTGTGTTCTTCGTTTTTTTCTAAACCTGTTATTTTTGACATATGACACAAACATATGTTTGTTTAAATGGAAACCATAGTTTATGGACATTATTATTTAGATTTATAACAATTTACTTAAATTTACCTAAAATAGTTTAATAAGTAAGTATTCATTATTTTCTCAAGAAAAATAAAGCAGTATCTGCTGGCTGAACGAATGGATATGTAAATAGTGATTTTATTTTGTGAAGAAAATGTCTTCTTAGCTCCAAGGGCTTATGCTCAAAGATATCCATATTAGAATCTTCCAGATAAGCGTTCCTTTGAAGAACTACTTGTCTTATTTCGCAGGGCTAGTCTAGGGCTATTTAGTAATGTGGTTGATAAAAAAACCTATTTGGCAAAAATCTGTCGTTGGAAGTGAAGAAAATGAATTTTCCCTAATTGGCTCTTTTATAGAAAATCCATATCTACGTTAAATAAATCAAAAAACTACTTCTTCGTTTTTCTTGATAGAATAATAAATACATATTTAATAAATATTATTTTTAATTTTATTAAATAAAAGAAAACTGGTATAATAAAGTCCATAAACTAATTTCGATTCTGAAAATAGCTACTAACTGTCACCAGAAACTTACCATGACGACAGTAGCCCTCTTGGTTGCCTTTTTATTGAAAAATTGCTCTGTATTCAAAATCTGAGCTAGATAGATCCAAACCAAACCATAAGCAACCCTAATACAGTTTGAAAGAGCGTTTGAATCCGCTTTGATTTATTTAAAAAAATACAAGGTGTTATATTTGAAATAACGAAGTATTATTTCTGTGGCTTAAAAGTCAGCACAAGAATTAATTCTGAAAAGCAATGTACAGGGTCTTGACAATTTTTTTTATTACAGCATGCATATTTAAATATCTTTAAATATCTCAAAAACCAAAGCTGGTAAACATATTTAACCCTTATAATAAATACTTTATTTTCTGTCCAAGGTTTCAAAAATGAAATAAAATACCGGGTGTTCCTTAAGAAAAAATATAACTTTGGTGTGGATCTTAGTTCTGACATACCCTGTACATTTCAAAATAATTTTAAATTATGCACATTGCCATCCCACATATACCCATAAAATATTTTGTTTCAACATCTTTCTGTTTTCATCATGCGCCACCCTGTATATTTAATAGTAAAATATATAAAGCTTCTGTTTTTTATTCGAGCATTATAATCGTTTTCATGTGAGCTGCTGTCTTAACTATTATTATAAATTTAACAAAACATATGTTTAAATATTGGGAGTATTCAAACAAAAACCATAAAAAATACATACAATGTTAATGTAGTTTAATCTAGTTACTAAAGGCTTTCTTGACCGACTATATGGATAAGTTTTTCTGCATCATTTGATATGCAACTCAAACTATCATGTCAAGTATCTGTACAAATACTCTTAACATCTTCAGTTTTACATTACACGATTATTGCTTAATTCCATCATTATACAGATATAGTTATAAGTAAGTGTTAATTTTTTATTAAAGTGGCAAACAAAGGTAGGACCTATATAGACAACTTTAAAAGGTATCTAATATTACTATATTTCATTATATTAATTTAAATCTAAAATTCACTTTAGCAGTTTTATAAATGAACGGTTATACACAAACAAATCTTAATAATTAAAAAAAAAACGGCGTCATAGTAGGCTTGAAAATGGGTATCACTACAAACCATTTTACACCCTGTTGGCAAGCGACACCTTGGGTCGGTGTTTACATGTATAGAAGTGAATCACTATGGCAATCTAGTAAGTCGGAGAGAGCAAAAGTACGATGTATTTATTACATAACCACTTAACCTGTCCATGTGCTTGGGAAAATACTTGCCTTCTGTCTTTATTCAGTACATCTTATTTTGCTAAGCGTGTTGACCATACTCTTCGTACACACCCAGTATACCTACCCCCAAAATACCTACCCTAGTATGAAATAAAAATTAATAAGTTGACTTAGTAATAATAATAGTTTATAATTTACCATAATATAATTTTAAAATCATCTATACATTTGTGAAGAAATTTTTTGTTGGTTATGCAAATTTTTAATATAGCATCATTATTGTACAGGGGGTTTAAAATATATTATCAGTATTATTAATATATAAACTAATTTTATATGTTTCTTTTTCTACATACGTATATTGTTTTTCATTATTTCGATATAATTTATATCTTCATCAGGAGAATTCTACAATAAGACACATTTTTAAAATAGTACCAAAAATATTATTTCTGTGCTACAGTAACACTACAGTAACACTATAACAAAACTACAGTAACACTATTATAAAATAATCAATAAAATTAAATAATAAGTGATAAAACTATTATAAAATAATAAAATCAAAATTTTATAAAAGGACTAGCGTGTACCTGCGACTATGTTCGTGTCGAATCAATTGTAATCATTTGTAATGGTGATGATAAAACAAAGCAAGAATTTCCATTAATATACAAACTGGATAAAATTTTCTCACATTTATGTCAGCATGAAAAAAAAACAATCGAGAAACCCCTTCTTATCGAACCTCTACACCCCACAGTCAATCCGTTTTCCAAAAATCAGCTTTAAACGTCAAGCAGTTTCAGCAGAATCGTGATTACTCAATGGTCATATTTTGTGAAACACCCTGTATATTTTTTTAATTAATAAATTTAATATGTAAAACAACGAGTTTTTCCGAAAAACTCACCGGTTTTTAAATTATAAATATTCTAATATTTGAGGGGTGGTTTCACCCCTTAGAATATGAGTTTCGAAAAATCCCTTCTTATCGAACCTCTACACCCTAAAGTCAATCCGTTTTCCAAAAATCAGCTTTTTACGTCAAGCGCTTTAAGCAGGATCGTGATTAGTATAAATGACCAAATGACCAGATTTTTCGAAACACCCTGTATACATTTTTAAAAAATCTTAAAATATGTAAAAAAACAAAATAAAATATACGTGTTTAAGCGTTTTTTCGGAAACTTGACCGTTTTTTAAATAAAAAATATTGTAATATTTGAGGGGTGGTTTTACCCCCTTGGAACTGGAATTTCGAAAAATATCCCTACCTATCGAAACTCTACACCCTAGAAGCAACCTGTATGCCAAAATTGAGCTTCTTACGTTGAGTGGTTTGAGCAGGATCGTGATTAATCAGTGAGTCAGTTACTTAAGTATTTTATATATTAGTATAGATTCTTCTGATGAAGATATAAATTATATCAAAATATTGACTTTAAAAACAAAATAAATTAGTTTTATTTAATATA